CACCCGCCTCGGCCTCCCAAAGTGCTGGGATTACAGGCTGGAGCCTCCGTGCCCGGCCCGGGCTGGTCTTTAACTCCTGACCTCAGATGATCCACCCGCCGCGGCCTCCCATAGTTCTGAGATAACCGACGTGAGCCACCGCGCTGGGCCTAGGCTACTATTTTTAAACCATTCTATTTCTTTTTATTTCTTTTAACCATGTCATCTTCATTCAGGTGTTTGGGGGCGCCTTATCTATTTATCTTCATGACTTATACTTTTCTTTAATAAACAAATCCATTTCTTTTACGGCCCCAAATCTTTCATTGAGCAAACTGGCTTTTGAAAATCAGGATAGGCATGTCTAGGTAACTTTGTCAACTTTTATTTATTTATGCTCTGCTTCAAACAAGGTTTCATGCATGTTGCTCTAGGAACTTGAAGAAGTGTGATATTCAAGGAGCTTACAGTCTAGCTGGGAAAATAATACCTAAACAGATGAAAACTTAAATAACAGGAAAATCTGTTCATTATTGTTTCCACATGAAAGGTATAGCCAATTGTGCTGTGGATGTTATGAATGGAACTTTTGATTTCTACTTGCATTCCCATCCTCCTTTTAGTGGTGACATGGCCATTTATTGACTTGCCAGAACAAATGGGATTTATCTTTGCTTCTTCCCCTTCATTTCAGCAAAGCTCTGCCTTCTTAATATATCCCAAATGTAACCACTTATCTCCAGAATAATTAACACAGATCAAACCACTGTTTGTTTTCTATTCTTGCCTTAATAGTCTTCTAGCCTCCATTCCTGCTTTGCATTGTCTTTGCTCTGCAGAGCCGCCTATAGTGATGTTTTAAAAAGAAAAATTAGATCATTTCATTCCCTAAGTCAGAACTTGAGATTGGAAGTCATGTCACTTCTGTCTCATTCTAATACATTTCAGTTGCATCTTGACATTTCTGGAAATCTTGGTAATAATGGCTTCAACACAACAAGTTTACCACTATGCACATTTCTCTGAGCCCATGTACCCAGGCTGGTGTAATTATAGCTTTTGTAAACATACTTTATTTCTACTTTTTATTACAGTGTCATACCATTCTCCCATCTAAAACGTACCTTTCCATCTTGTTGAAATATGAGTATTTTTCAGTGGGCTCATCCCAGCTCTTCCTTTGACCACCTTTATCCTGATGTAATTGCTTCCAGTCAGAATTTCGGTAGCTTTTACTTTTCAAGTCATGTCCTGTATTTTCAAAATGAATGCTTTTTTTTTTTTTTTTAAGGTGGATTCTCACTGTGTCACCCAGGCTGGAGTGCAGTGGCGTGATCTCAGCTCACTGCAGCCTCTGCCTCCCGAGTAGCTGGATTGCAGGTGCATGCCACCACACCTGGCTAATTTTTGTATTTTTAGTAGAGACAATGTTTTGCCATGTTGGCCAGGCTGGCCTTGAGCTCCTGACCTCAGGTGATGCACAAGCCTCGGCCTCACAAAGTGCTGGGATTACAGGCATGAGCCATGGCGCCTGGCCAAAAATGAATGCATTGTAATGATGCATTCTTGAACAAATGTTCTTTCAACAAATATTTATTGAGGACATTATTTTTGTAACAGTATCTTAAGCACTGAATTAATAAACTAGATATAGGTTCTACAGAGATTGTGTTGTGTTAGGAGCAAGACAATATCATTGTCTTCTATTAGAGACATGGGCTAGAGAATATGGGCTGTCACCTAAATCAGGTCAAGGTATTTAGAAGATTTTTCAGGGACAGTAACCCTTAAGGTAAAACTTGAAACATAGCAAAGTGAATGAACATGTGTGTGTTTGAAGTTTTGGAGTTTGGCAAAAGATTCCAGGCAGAGGCAGTAGCATGTGCCACAATGTAGAGATCAAGGAAGCATATGTTCAGTTCAAGAAACAGAAAAAGGTAAGAACATGGATGTGAGTGTAGTGAGATGAAGTTAGGCAATTTCAAACTTGTTGGCAACTTTGCACAAAAAGAAACGAATATATTTGAATTTACAACCCAGTACACACATAATGTATAACTAAATGAAAAGTTTTGTAAAATATTTAATTTCCTGCACATTCCTTTGAGGTTTTTTGTTTGTTTTTGAACTTATCTGCTCTCTTTTTATTAATCCTGGTCATGATCCTTTAGTATAATTTCAGAAACAGCAATCTGAAAATCTCTGAGCTAGAAAAATAAGCAGGGCCTTGAGATATATTGACTCTGTCTAAATACTGTAGCAAGCCATTAAAACATTTTAAACAAAAAATGAAATGACTGGATTTTAAATGTTTAAATTCACTCTGGTAGCAGTAAAAGGAATGGATTGAAGAGAGGCAATCCTGGTTCAGGGAGACCAGTTAAGTAGCCCTTGCAGTAACTAAGGTGAGAAGTGACAGGAATTAGCAGGTTGGCAGTGGAAATGGAAGTGGATAAAGTGATTTAGGAGGTAGACTCAAAATGATTTTGTGATTTATTTTATCTGAAAGGACGAGTACAGTGTTCATGATGACTCTTTATGCCTGTATGTAAGGATCAGGCTTGTTGGAGGAAGATGATAGGCTCAGCCACGGACACTATGAATTTGATATTGTTATAGGGCATACAAATGAGGATCTGCAGGCGGGAGAAGGCTGTGCAGATCTGATGCCTAGAAATCTAGACTGGAAATAAGTTTGACAGGTTATGGGCTCATGGATAGTAGTTGGAGTGTGGGAATGAACTGTGAGAAATGAAGTGGGCCCAGCCTGAATTCTGTAGACCATTGCTTCTCAGACTTTAATGTACGTACGAATCACCTGGCATCTTGTTAAAATGTAGGACACTGGTCGGACCAGAGATTCAGCTTTTCTTACAGGATCCCAGATGATGCCAGTGTTGCTGGTCTGTAGATTACTCAGGCTGTCAATACAGAAAATGAAATTTTAAGGTACAGGCTGAGGAAAAGAAGGTTGCAAAAGAATCTAAGATCAGACAGAGAAGAGAAAAATAAGGTGCGTGTTGTTTTGAAATCGAAGAGTAGTGTTTGAAGGAGAGAAGAGTATCTCAAGAGGAAGTAATTGATAATGGCGAGCATGCACAAACGGCTTAAGAGCTGAGAATGTCTATTGGATTTATCAACAAGGTCATTGATGATCTTAATGGAAGCCCTTTTTGTGGCATTGTGGAAGTAAAAGCCAGATTGCAGTAGGGTGGCAAGTGAAATAGAGATTAGGAAATGGAACATTTTCCAGGAGTTTTGCTGTGAAGAGGAGGAAGAAAAATAGGGCAGTAGTTGTTGGGGGTAGGCGAATTCAAGAGAGGGGTTTTTTTCTTGTTGTTGTTTCTAAGGTGAAGAAGTTTGACCATGTTCATGTCCTGATGGGAAGCACCCAGTGAAAAGGAAATCAGAATGGGCCAAATTTTGCTGCAATAA